AAAAAACTTTCGAATAGCAATCTTGGTGAGTGATCTCGACCGGGTTCGATCGGCATGGCGTGTCGTTCCTCCAGGAGTGGGTGCTGAGAGGAAGGATGGCAAACCTCCATTGTCATCGGCCGGAGCTGCATCATCATTTGGATCAGAGCATGGACGAAATCGAGATGGTAGAGGATGATAATTTGTAGGACGTGAGGGTTTAGGGTGGGCATCACGAGAACTCACCCATATCTTGGGAGACGGCAGACCCAAGGTGCAGTCGTGTTCGTGCTTCAGGGGTTGCCACGTGCTGTCCTCGCCGCCATCGCCTGTCGATGCCACTTCAGCGCCACGAGCATGGGACTGAGGGACAAAGGGAAGAGAAGGGAAGGAAGCGAGCTAATGACGTACCTATGTTTGGTATGTAATACCCTCCATTAAGAGTAGATATTTTCTTAAAATTGGTTATTTTGTTTCCTACTTAATGTGATTGAGTAATTTAAGGTAAGGTTAATTAATTTAGATTTGATATTTAGAGATTGATCGTGATTGATTCTTTCACATAAAGACATTACTAAAAATAACTTGCACCAGTATGGGAAGTTATGATCCGTTAATTTTTTTTTCTTTGTGTGAGAGGGTGACGCGAAACTAAACCGGTGGGGTGGAGGAGGGACGAAAAAACCAGCGAAATAAAATGGGTGGGAGGTGGGAGGAAGTACTATAGAAGTACCAAAAAAGACCGGGTGAGGTGGGACGAAAATAAAACCCGAAACGCGACCTACCAACTGAGACATTGGGAGTAGAGATTATCATATTTGAGATTTCTGAGTTTATAGCCTTACCATATGTGGAATAATTGTGATTGATTACCATAAATACGTTGGGTATTGCCGGCCAGACGAGAAAAGAGGAAAACCGATGGAAGGGGGTGGTGGGATGTGGGACGGAAAAAACTAGATGAAAGTGATGGGACTATTCAACCAACTCGTCCATTAAAAGTAGAGATTTTTTAAGATGATCTTTTCTGGGGAAATCAGTACCATTCATAACCACCATTATTAGTTGTCAAAAAAAAAGATGGAGCGCACAAATCGGCAGTACAAGCACAGCCAAAAAAGTTAAGATATTCTTGCTAAAGCTCCTTCATGTCAGTATCGCCACTATTAGCGCTGCTCATGTAACACACACACACAAACACAGATATATAAGAAACTTTATTCTAGACCCTGGGTGAAGAATAAATAATTCCTCGCCCCGGCCGAACGACCCAGCCAGCCGGCAGGCGACTCGACTACATCGCACCCGCCCGCACCGCTCTCCAGCTGAGGTAATTTATTCCCTACCAACTGTTTTTTTTTACGATGGGAGCAGATCCCACTCCCCGTAGTTTCTGAAGCTATTGGGAACCGAAGCGGCGAGCATATCGGAGGTGAGCGGCTAGGTTTCCGCGGCGAGCCGACGGTAGCTGTCGGTGGATTCAGGTCTGCGCCGGCGCTGGGAGTGGCCCTGTTGGCTGGCTGCAGCGTTGAGGCGAGCAGCGTTTTGAGAAGCTTCCAGAAGCTTCCCGATGGTGGCAGCATCGTTGGCCGACGGCCGTGCCACGACCCGCCTCCACCCTCCGCTCCCTTCGTCGCGCCGGCGATGGCCCGGCCTGCCTTGCCGTTCCCTCCCCCGAGCCCTGCCATATCCTGTCGTGTGCCGTCATCCCATCGGCGCCGGGATCCATCCCGCTTCCTTGTTGTGCATAATATAAGTTAATAACAGGGAGTCTCCATATGTAGCGACGGTCGCGGCCCCCTTCCTACAACCTTTGAAAGCAGACCCCGCGTAAGATGCCCCAACTTCTTCAACCAGCTGCTACTAGCTGCTACCCTCTGGACAGGTTTCTCTCTTTTCCTCTTTCCTTCTCTCCCTCTGTATGTGTGTGCATGAGTGCGTCTGTATTCTACTGACTAGTCAGTACTGATGTTTAGATTAATTGGCATGTTATGCAGGACGAGTATTGTGCAGGAAGCCCCATTAGTAGGTTTATTATTATTATGGTTTGGCTTTGGCCTGTATGTATATTCCCATTTAGGAATCAGCTACTGTTCCACAGTAGCACGTCTCTCATTCTAAATCTCAAACGTATGAAATCTCATATTAATCCTTTTTTATGACATAATTGGAGAATCCTCAAACAAAATTTGTTGATTTGATGGTTGCAAACCTTGATGTTTCCATTTTTCAAATGCCATGTAATGTTTCTCATAGGCTAGACATATACATGTTGGCTTAAATGTGCATTTCAGCATTTGTGCTTGGCTGTCCATCTAAATTCAATTTCTTCCTTTATTTTTGTTGGTTTGATGATGCATTTCTCTCAGAGCTTAGTTATACTGTTGTCAGCTGAATTTAATCGTAGAATGATGTTCTTTCCATGTCATGTAAAAATAGCAACCTTCTCTTCTTTATGTTATGATTTTAAAATGTTATAGGTATACTGTTGTTAACTGAATTTAATTGTGGACTGATCTGATTTCCATGCCATGAGCATGTATTGATTTATTCTCCCATGGGAAATATCTGCTCCATGCTCCAGTTTGGTCACATTTAGTTAGAAATTCAGTTATCTGAATTTAAATATATTGTCCATATGCAGAGGTTAAGCATTGTATTTTTTTATTTTGATCTCAGACCCATATTTACTTGTTTAGGGCATAGCTGTCCTACAAGTTAAATAATTGTTGCGAGCCGAGATTATGTGTCGCCACCTTCCCCTCTCCATACACGATCGCCAGTCACACCTACATCAATGACTGTTTGGTTCTCTCTTGTAAGTATTCCTCCATCGTCCACTTATTTCTCTTCGTTTTCCTCGTCCAAAAATCTAGGTTTTTCAGATTTCCATCTCTCCCAGGCTCCCCTTCTCCTGATTATTTTGTTTGGTTATGTTAGACGATTGTAAAATTAACAAGAGTTTCTTGTAAAAAATATTGTTGTTTAGGCACCATGCCACTGCATGCTAAGATTGTTGTTGTGTAGTAACTTCAATATTTCCCCCTCCTTTTTCTACAAAATGTGTAAATGTAATTAGATTTAGGGAAACATGAGATTTTGTTGAAAAAACCTTCAGATATCTTTGTCGTTTGGATATCAAAGTTCAGTATTATTGCTGTTCCGAAATAGTCATAATCATATAAGATTGTTCAACTACTTGTACACGCTAGTCTTTTTATGAAGAATCAAGGAAAAAGGCCATCGAATCGCTTTGAGGTTGGGAGCAGCGGCAACATCGATAAAATCTTAACCAGATAGGTGTCATATATATCCAGTCTTGCATGATGAGATTTTTGTTTTCCATACAAGGTCAATTGCACTGCTTCGCCTTCAGTTTCCCAAACCAAGCTTCGATCTCCTTAAATACTCGCTACTAGACGATAACATATGTTTACCCTCCTTGCTTTCAGTCAACAAAGTAATTTGTCATAATAAAATTAGTTGCGCATGTAGCAACTTAGCATGCTTTCAAGTGAAATTAATTTAGTCAACTTTACTAAATTTGAACCGTTATCAGAAATTGTGCCTACTAGCTCAATTATCGGGGCTTATTCTTCCTTAATGACATTATGTCTAGTAGCCTCCAGCTCAGACCATATTTAGTAGTTACTTGTTCAATTCATTATGTATCAAATTTATAGAGCATGGTGCTCCTTGCAAATCAGTTCAACTGTCATACTCTCGTTTTGTGTGGAAATCACACGTAAAACAAGAGTATGACATACTGTATATCTTAAAAATTCGTGTTTCTTCTCACTACAACAAAGTCATTATTCTACTATCGTACAATGGACTATGTATACGTATGATTGCCACACAAAACAAGAGTATGACACTTAAACTGGTTTGCAAGAATTTTTTTAGATATCCTCCCACTGATTTGTACAAATGAGTCTTTTTCTCGTGTTTTATCTGCCGCCATGGTTAAGGACAGCTAGCAAGGTTCTACCAACTTGTGTGCTTTTCCCGCATGCTTTTGCTGGACTATGTATCATCATTCTGGTCACACCAACAAAATGGTTGGGTATTGCCTGGTTTGCATGATGAGAGAATATTTCTGTGCATGGTTTTCTTTGTAAAATGCTCTCTCTTGTTGTCATGTCTCTCGATTTGGAAAATGCTCTGTGGTAGAAGACGAAACAGTAGTGTGAAAAGAAACAGTAGTGTCTTTTTATAGTGATGATGATATCTTCTGTTCTTTCACCAGGGAGAAGAGAAGTGTGCAAAAATCTTCCTACGAAATTTTGGTGTGGTTAAGCTGGAAATTTCCTTCACAATCTGGGCAAAAGATATTCTGGCAGCCATTCTACTTGCTGCGCTGCATTCTTATGCATTTGAATTTTCTGGTTGTCACCAAACCTGTGTGAACAATCGGTGTTGATGTTCCCTTTCCTCCTCCCTCCTCTATGTACACTGTTTACATGACGATACCTATATCTATATAGGAATTCAGCTACATATGTTAGATACTAAAGTTGAGAAAGAACATAAATATATGCATCTTGCGTTGGGAACCGACAACGGTACTAACATGGAGGTATACGTAGCTGGATGATGCCACAATGAGTTGTTGCTGGCCATTGCAACAATTGGGCAGTCGACAGACGTCCAGAAATATGTTTGAGGAGGCAGACCGTGAGACACACAAAGATATTTGGAAAATCTTCAGTGTCCAAAGATTGGAAAATACATGACCACAACTACATTGCCAATCCCCTCCTCGGTCATATAAAAAAGTTCCATAAAATTATTATATCCATAAAATAGCCAGACATACCTAGTATAAAATAAGAACACATCATCACCTACTCACTCCGTAAAATTACGGCAACATCATTTGATTTCTTAACTGCCACTTTTAAGCGCCATATAGGTTGCACACATGCACGATGTAATTAAATTACTGGCATGCAGGAGGTAATATACGGTGCTCTCCTTTGCTTTACGGAAGAAAGAAGTTCCTTTTCCAGGCTGTAACTTTAGCCCACATGCTTGGCATCCTTATTATTGCAGACCCCATACAGTTTGATCTCCTCGAGGTATAACAAGTGCTCCATGCCGGCTGGTACAGTGCCACCCCAGTCGAACGCACAGATCCAGAGTGTTCGTAAACTGGGCATAGCACCTGCCTCGAAGCCCAGGTACACTGTAGCGTCTTTACTAGACCAGATTTTTAGGGACTCCAAAACTGGGAATAGCCCCGTGCCTAACATAGCTCTTACATCAGGGATTTCACCTGCGTAGAGTTCCAGGTCGACGAGGGAGGGAAGCTCTCCAAGCAGATGAACATCCTGAGTTGATGTCTCTTCAACATACAGCTTAAGGAAGCGCAGGCAATGGAGACCACACAACCATTTTGGAACTCTCCATAACTGCCAAAAAGGCAATTCAAGACGCTCAATATGTTGAGAAGGATTGGATAATGAGCCCAGCTGCTGGTTATCCTCACGCTCATAATGCTCGCCAGAGACCAACAGAGATTCAAGGTTATATAGCTTTCCAATGGAGCAAGCCAAAGCATCAACGTTTGGAAACCCCAAACTAAAACCTACTGACATATGCAGTTCACTCAGATTGGTCAGCTTGCTGAGCCCCATAAAACACTTCAGCGAGCTCTTTTCCATGTCAAGCCCTCGCAGAGTCCGCAGTGATTTCATATTCCCGATACCTTCAGGCAGCTTTGTCCAATTTGGAAGAAGCATATAGGACAGGCGGGGCAAATGAACTATATCTGAGGGGATGCTCTCCATCAGTCTGCACTTTTCTATGTCCAGTGTCTCCAAGTAAACAAGCTCGCCAAGTTTAGTAGGGAGCTTTATTTTTCCATAAGCACTTACCGTCAGACACCTCAGCTGAAACAATTGTCTAACAGCGGTGAGGTCAACTATCTCCTCCGACACATAGTGCCCCTTCAAAATGATTAGAACCCTGAGGTACTTGAACCACAAAAGAGGGAGTATAGGCTTATTGAACAGTAATGATCGAACTTGTGACAGCCTAGCAGCAATAGCCGTGTCATATGTTGCTCCACCAACAGCCGTGGAGCACAGGGATAATCGGCGAACCTTGTATTTGCAGAAATGCAGCTGTCTTGCCATGTCCTCAGAATTGTATGCCACACTTACAAAATTATCTTCTACACACTTGCTTAGGATCAAATCAAGCATCATGTCGTGCACTCTGCAAGACAACACCTCTCCATACTCAGTTTCTGCCGGCTGAATCATGCTTCTATTGACAAGCTCATTGAAATAACTCCTGCCAACAGCCTCCAAATCTGACCCATGCAAACTGCTGACGAAGCCTTCAGCTATCCATTGTTTAATCAGATCATCTCGCCATATGATGTGGTCCTCAGGATACATACCAAGGTACAAAAAACATCTTCGGAGATGAAGAGGAAGATGTGTGTAGCTAAGGTTTAATATACTATTCATCTCTTTCAATGAAGGATTTGTGGCGGAATGGACACTCAAAGAATTCCTTATGTTCTCCCACTTTTTCCTTAATCCCCGTTGAGTAGCTAATAGGCTAGCTATAGTGATAACTGCAAGCGGCAATCCACCACACTTCTTCAGGATTTCAGCCCCGACGTCTTCAAGATAGCGTGGGCAAACAACTTCGGGCCCAAATACCCTATTGAAGAATAACTTTCTCGAGTTCTGATCACTGAGGGGCTTCATTGTATAAATGCACTCACGGTTATTGTGACAGGCCATACCAGCCACATCTTCCACTCGTGTGGTTACAATTATTCTACTCCCATTTCCATTTTTTGGAAAAGCACTACTAATAGTATTCCAGGCTGATTGATCCCACAAGTCATCCACTATAATAAGGTACCTGTTGAAATGTTTGCACAAGGTTATATTGTAGCAGGATATGACTACGTTGAAGAAAGAAGCATACAAAATAAAAACAAACTTGATGTAAGCAAATCTATTGCTGGGATGTGTTGGTCCCTCCCTCTCCCTCCCTCCCTCACAAGACTCTGTGAATAATCTTCTTAGCAATTTTTTTACACTGAGTTAAAAAAGTACAATACTTCAATCAATTTTTTCCTAAGATGTATAGCGTGGAATCTGCTAAAGAAACATTATAGAATAGGAGCCTTTGATGAGAGATATGAGCAAGAGGCTTCAAGAAAGTTGTGTTTTCATAATTATATGAAGCCAGTAAAGAAACAAAAAATCCATTAGTATTTGAATCCGAGTACAAGGGAAAAAGGCAGAGTTTCTGCTCCAACGTGTTTTTTGCAATTTTGAATCTATATCACAAACTTAAAAACAAGAAAAAAAGTCAAACTTCCCACATGCTTGGACAAACAAGCATAACCAGAACATGCACTGACCAATTACTTGCTACTTCAAATTTAAGATAGTAGGCATCGCGAATGACTATAAAACGTAAGTAATTACCTTTTATCTGTGAGATACTTCCTTAGCTCTTCAATGATGTCGTCAAGCCCGCAATCGTGAGAAGAGACATTTATCCCAAGTTTCAATTGTAGGCGATTGAGAAGCCCTCTCAAATAAGGCCTCTGCGAAACCGAAAAGAATGCCACACAATCAAAATGCCCTTTGATCTTGTCAAACACTTGTTTGGCAAGTGTAGTTTTACCCAAGCCTCCAAAACCAACAATGGACGCAACCTTTAGTTTTTTCTGAGTATTCATCAACCAAAGGATAACCTCTTCTCTAGGGCCTTCAATGCCCACAAGGTTAGCCGCCTCCTGGTAGACCGCTGGCATGCGAGCGTCGACAGCCACGGGGCCAAAGCTAGGCTTGCAATCATCGACCTTGTAACTCTCACGTCGAGCATTTGCTTCTACCGCAAGAGTCTTAAGCTCTTCCATCTGGTTGGAAATACGATGAAGCTCGCACAACCTCTTGTGAAGTTCATCAGCCTCCGTGAAAAAGCCTACCTCAACATCCTCACCCCCGAATTGGCGGATGAAATCATCAATGCAATTTTCCATGTCATAGGAAATCTCCCTGAGATCATCCCTCCAATTTTTTACCCCTGGAGCAAGCTCATTCATGAGCTCCGGCAGCTCAAGAGCAGCGTGTATGGCGCTCAACTCATTCTCAAGGAACGACGCCTGCTTCCTTACCTCTTTCCACTTATTGTACTCATCGTTGATGAAAGTGGTAAGCTTGCCACTAAGGGTGCTCATCACCCCGGTCACCACACTCATGGTTGATGTCCTCCTCTTCTTCTGTTGTCTCACTTTGCCATCCTCCTGCTCCACCTCCAGCGATGATGGTTGCAGTTGGAGTGATGCAAAATAATCATCCATCAACTTTAGTTCATCCGTCATATTGGAGAAGCTTATCTGCAAAAGAAAATTGAAAACAATATTAGGAGGAATCACTAAATAGCGCATTTTGTACTAGCCGCCCATGAATGTGGTAAGCTTGCCACCGAAGGTGCTCATCACCACACTAGGCAAACTCCAGGTTGATGCCTTTCTCTTGTTCTCTTGTCTCACCTTGCCATCCTCCTTATCCACCTCTAGTGCCGATGGTTGAAGTTGGGATGGTGTGATAGAATTATCCATCAGCTAGCCACTAGCGACCGAATTACCCATCAACTTCAGCTCATCTGCTAGCTTCGAGAAGCTTATCTGCAATAAAAATGAAAACATGTTTAGGAGAAATCACTAAATAATGCGTATTGTACTCGGTGCCCATGAACGTGGTAAGATTGCCATGGAGGATGCTCATCACCCTAGTCACGACACTCACGTTTGATGCCTTCCTCTTCCTCTCCTGGCTCAATTTGCCATCGTCCCGTTCCACCTCCAATGTTGATGGTGGCAGTTTGGATGGTGTAGCAGCAGAACCATCCATTAATTTCAACTCATCCGCCAGCTCGGAGGCAATGCTTATCTGCAACAAAAATGAAAAATGCCCATGACACATCACTAAATAATTACTGGTAGATCATATATATTTACTATTGGGTGATTGTACCTGCCCTTCTGTTGAGGCACCTACGTCACTTGTAACAGGCCAATTTGAAATTTCCGCGTCACCCAGTATTCCACGGATCATAAACCATGTAGTCGGCCTGTTCCCTGGATAATAGTTTGTACATTGTAACCCCATCTCGGCATATGCCTTTAATTGTTCCAATGGTGTGTGACTATTTGATGTCCCAAACATGTCCGTCCAGCTTTCAACAACCTGCAATTTGATAACCATGGTTAGTTTTAAAGAAGGACGACATGCATTTAGAACAGAAAAACAAAAACAGACAGCCGTATTGATTAGGACCAGAGGCCAAATGCAAGGATAACTATCACAAACAATTTTGAATTTCTCACTTGATTATTTTTGTGTTATTAATCTTTCGATGCACATAATGACTATAGAAATCAAAATCAGCTTTATTTTACTTTATGTTTTGGGTGGAAGATCGCTGCAAAGACAACATTCAGATCTTGTCATTTGCAAATTCTAATGTTAATTCGATACACTAATTGAATATACGTTGAATTTTTTCCCAACAAGATTGTGGTTTTTTCTAAACAAGTTGTCTACAAAAAGAAATTTGTTGAAACTTATACAATATAATTACCTCCATAACACTGGAGCACTCCTTATGTCCCATAAGGATCTCCATTACAATAACACCCAAACTATATATGTCAGTCTTGAAGGTGATTTCTCCGCTAATTAGGAATTCTGGTGCCATATATCCCCTGCACAAAATTTTGGTGTAATCTGTTCGATTAGGTGAATGAAGAGTATGCAAAAACAATTGGCAGACGACTGATAAAAATATTAAGTTCGCAAAGAAAATTGCTAGCCTACATTGTCCCAAGCTTGTGATCAGTAATAGCCCGACTCTGGCTTCCACTTAAGCGCCGTGATAGACCGAAATCCGCAATTCTGGGCACCATGTTATCATCCAATAGTACATTCTGAGGTTTTAGGTCCACGTGAATAATACGCTGTTGGTGAAGATAATGTACGCCCTCACAGATCCCCTTGATTATTTGGTAATGTGTGGTCCACTGAAGTCGACAAGATGCATCTGCGAAGACTATACAATATAACAAATAGTTAGTACTATATGCGGTGGAATAAGCAGCCCAATGAAAAAAAAGGGCTTTCATGAATAATTGCCTGATTTTGAAAGTTACTA